CCTGAGGGCCAGCTGGTTTGCCCTGAAGGGTGTCCTGGATCAGGGTGGGGGTCCCCCCCTGGGTTGCCTGGCCCAGTCTGGGTGAGGGGCTGAGGGCTGCTTTCAGGCTGGTGGTTTGTTGACTGAAGCTCCCAACCGCTCCTTTTTTTTCTCTTTTTTTTATTTTATTCTGGGCCAGCTTTAACTCTGGCTCTAGCTCTGAGGCTTCCGCTGGTTTGTTTGTGTTCTATAATCGAAACAATGTATAACTCCAGCTCTGAGATCCCGGGGTTTTGTTTAGCTTCTATATTTGTTACAAAGTTTCAAACTGCCAGCTCAGAGGCTGGCAGCGCAGGTGGGGAACGTTGGAGTCCTCCTTCACTGCAGCAAGCAAGCCTCATGTTCTCTTCCAGCTGCCTGGCTGCCGGCCGCCATCTTGGCTGACAGTTAATTTGCATATACTCACTGATTAGCCAATGAAAAGGGTAGCGGTCGTACGCTAATTACCATGTTTCTCTTTTATTAGTGTAGATATCCTTCTATATATCATATATATTTAATATACAGGGTAGGCAAAAGTAGGTTTACAGTTGTGAATACACAAAGCAGTTTATTCTTGTATTATTATTTATTTGTAAATTATTATATTATTTGTTATTATTAACCTACTTTTGCCCACCCCTGTATAAAAATGGCATATATGTGACAATGATATATATAAATGGCATCAATTGTGGAGGTGAATATGAATATATATATAGATTTCTGTTTATACTTACATGTGTATATACTACATATACTATATAGACTATATCTATAGCATATATACAGGGTGGGGCTAATGTAGGTTTGCAGTTATTTATATGGAAAATAATACAATGATACAAGAATAAGCTCTGTGTTTTGCAATACTCACAACTGTAACCCTACTTTTTTGTCCCACCCTGTATATACACTTTATACTGTACATACAGTATATATCTCTGTGTGTGTGAATATATATATGTATATATTTATATTCACCTATACAAATTGTGTGCCCTTTAAAACTGAGGCTATATTCATGTTGCAGTCTTAATAATTCACAAAAATTGTATTGTGTCGGTAGGATTTGTATTTGAGGCCACGCAACCCCTCAGTGCTGTGTTCTCCCGCCTGGAGTGAAAGACTTGCTCCCCTTTGCAGTTTAGATGAGACCAGGGAACGAGGAGTGAGCCTCAGCCTGGGTAAAGGCACTAACCTCCTCCTCCCACTCTCGGATTTCCATGAGAACAAAGCTCCAAGGGAACAGGAAAGAGTGGAAGACATTACATTTGGTTTAGGCTCACTGCCTGGTTTTCTCAAAACAGTACAGCTTTCCTGTTAACCCACTGTGATTTCATTTAGACAATGACAGTGGGTTCATTTTCATGTGTTCTCAGAGCATTTTCACTGCCATGTCAGATGCTCTATCTACTGAGCCAAACCAGTCAGGGCTGAAATCTATCTTTTATCATGAAGCAATTTCACACAAATAATTTTAGCAGCAACATTTATATTTCTACATAACTAAACTATCCATACTAAGGGAAAAATAGCAAATAAATGGTAAACATTAATTTTGTACTTAAGGAAAATAAGAACGAAGCTGTAAAACAGTTTATTGAATCTATTGCAGGTGGAGTGTGTAGTAATTTATAAACATAATCTCATGTAATCCTCATAATAACTTTGTGAGGATGTAAGGAAGGTGTGGTGAGGCCCTGTGATATAAATGCACCTTGCCAAGTGCACACATTTAGCTGGTGGGTGTGAAGTTAGGATTTGAGCCTAATTTTGTCCATCTTTGATCAGTGTGGACAGGAAGACTTGGCAGGAGCCGAAATACTCTGTTTAGATGAGCAAACTATCTTGTTTTCATCAGGAATTTATAATTAGCGATTGAAAAAATACATCTTTAAGGAACATGTTATTCCACACTCTATAAACTCTACAAAGAGATGGAACATTTTTATGATTTCTTTAATGAAAAGCATAATACTAGAAACAAGAAAAAAACCTAATAAAAGGAGCACAAAAAAGAAAATCACAAAAAATCACTGAAATACTAAATACAGGAATATAGAAACGAACAAAATAGAATAATACAAAAAATGATGTGTATTCTAGGATTGTAAAAATGGTTCAATATTGGGAAATTTATTAAAATAGTTGTATAGTCAAGACGAAAGAATAAAACCCCTATTTTTTACTTCCTAATGGATTCCAAATAATATTTAATAAAATGCAATTGTATTTCTTTCTGTTTTAAAAATATATTTTATTGATTTCAGAGAGGAAAGAGAGATAGAAACATCAACGATGAGAGAGAATCACTGATCTGCTGCCTCCTGCACGCCCTCCACTGGGGATCAAGCCTGCAACCCAGAATCGAACCCGGGACCCTTCAGTCTGCAGGCCAATGCTCTATCCATTGAGCCAAACTGGCTAGGGTGCAATTGTATTTCTTTTAAGAAAATACACGCACAACATAGTAATTTAGGAATAGAGAAATGTTATGAAATTGTGAAAAATCAATTCAAGAAAACAGAAAAATGTTAGAGGCTTACTATATGCCCAACTCCATCACTTATAGTTAACATCGTTCTATAAATTCCAGCCAATGCTGTACATTTTTAAAAAGACTAACTTTTTAAAATTCTTTATTGTATATGCTAGAAACAGTTCTAAATACTTGACAAATATTAACTCACTTAATCTTCACAGCAATCCTGGAATATGGACTGTCATTCTCATTTTACAAATTAGAAAGCTGAGTCCCAGAGAAGGCTAATAAGTGGTAGAGCTTAATTAAAACTCAAGTGTCTTTAATCTTTAATAGTATAATACTCAGTATGCTGCCTCTCAAAAGTTACAATTATTTGAAAAGAGGTGGCATCTTTTTTTCTTAAAAAATGTATTTTTTACTAAAAAATTCCAAGAAAATCAGCTACAGAATTATTAGAATAAGAGACTTCAGTTAAGTAGCCATACAAAAAAATAAATGTGTTTAAACCAATTGACTTTCCTATTACAGCTACAAATTGAAAACGATGAAGAAATCCCATTTATCATAGCAATGAAATATCACATATGTATGAATAAAATATGTAAGAAATGTACAAGAATAATTAAAATAAAACATTTTATTGAGAAACACAAAATATTAGCTGTAATGGAGATTTGTGTTGTATTCCTGGATGAGAATAATAGATATCGGAAAAATGTAGCATCCCCAAATTAATTATAAAGTTAATGAAAGTCAATTTAAAACCAAAAGATATTTTCATGGAGAGGTTGGCAAAATAGCTATTAAAATTCATCAGGAATATGGACATCCTGGGAAAAATAAAATTTTGAAAATAAAGATTAAGGCCCTAGCCGGTTTGGCTCAGTGGATAAAGTGTCGGCCTGCCAACCAAAGGGTCCCGGGTTCCATTCTGGTCAAGGACAAGCACCTTGGTTGCAGGCTCCTCCCCGGCCCGGCCTCTGGTCAGGGCTCATGCAGGAGGCAACCAATCGATGTATTTCTCCCACATCAATATTTCTCTGTCTTCCCCTCTCTCTACCACTCTCCCTAAAAATCAGTGAAAAATATCCTCGGGTGAGGATTAACAAAAACAAATAAACAAACAAAATAAAGATTAATGAAGAAGGAACTTCTAATTCTAAGTATTAAAAAAATATTATAAAGTTACAATCACTAAGACAATATGGTACTTTTTACTAAAATAGAAACTTAGAGGAGCTAAATCAGCTTGAAAATTCCCAAAACAGATTTAAACAAAATAAAGATAGCATTTTATTTTACATTATCTGTATATTCATATGATATACAAATAAATATCAGATTAATTAAGAAAGAAAACACAAGGAAACAACTGAAGGAAAATATATTGGTGACTAATTTTATAATCGTGTCTAATATGACATTAAAGGCAGAAACCATAGGTGAAGATTATGGACATATTAGAACTTGTATACATATAAACAGAAAGGATACCCAGGTTGCATGCCTAAAATGTGTTTGAAAGTCCTTTCCTTGATGTTCGCGGGGCAGGGGGCGGGGGGGATAGAATTAATAAACCAGAAATGTCTGACTAATATTCCAAATGCACTACATTTTGAAGGCTTCCTGAAGCAGAGCCCTTCCTGGGCTAGTACTCATGTGGTATTGTACCTGCTGCAGGCACAGAGCATTCACAGAAATGTTTGTAGGGTGAATATGTAGTATGTCCTTGTTAAAAATAAAGGTGGAGTTCGAGAGAAGACAATGTCTTAGAAATTAGGATTGTTTCACCTAAAAAGGTCAACTAAATTTGAGTTATAGCATCCAAGAGAGTAAGGGATTGCAATTGGAGAGTTTTATACTTCTTGCACGTGCCAGAGCATCGCATTTCAGTAGAAGTTATTCACAACGTCATTGAGTAATTCCTGAATTTGTATAAAGTCTTAAAACATGTTATCACTAATAACAATGAAATAATTCCAGTTTTCTGTCTTCAATTATGCAGTGGATACTTGGAGAGGAGTGCCACAATGATAGCATTTGGAGAGAAGTATTTCCCGTTCTAAGGTAGAGTATGGTGCAGGAAAGATTGTTTTTTAATCTCCCTCCAGCGTAGCTCTGCTTTTTTAATACTGGGACCCCAGAACAAGTGGGGCAGGAAAATGTATTATGATCAATGAACAATGAAATGAAGAGGAAAATGTGGTTTTTCTGTGTGTGTGTGATATCAGCCTGGACTTTGGCAATCAATTCACATGAATGCTAACAAAACAGTGATTTTTTTTTCTCTTGGGGTCTAGTAGGAAAATTACTAGACTCCAAGTCCCAAAATAGCTCATGAAAAGAGTAACCAGCAGGCCCATGAACTTCCTAGTCTTCTGGTTTATATCCATTCTGTCTCCGTGTCCATTGGCAATGGGTTGATTCGTGGCCACTGCTGTTCCTCCTGAGGCCCCTCACTCTGCTCCAGGTCTTTCTGCGAGTGGTCCCTCGGCTGACATGGACCATCCCCACCCCTGCCTCTGTCTCAGCTGTGGTGCCCTTTAGTTCCCACGATCAAATTGCCCAATGTTCTGCATTCCGCCACGTTTCCCCTCCTTTCTAACCTGGCCATTGTCCTTGGATCAGGTTTGTTTCTTCCACTCTCTACCCATCAAGTCTAAAGAGGTTCTTCCCTCTCTGACACAAGGACTAGGACTGTTAATAATTTAGGTGGAATTTTATCAGGAAACTTAGAGGTCTTGGTCCTGGGTGTTGACTAATAGCCATCATCAATGCTCTTTTTATAAGAATTCATGAAGTTATATACTCGGCAGATCTATCCTGCTGGCCCATGAGACATGCCTGAAAATGCCTGAATCTAAATAATAATAAATATTATTATAGAGTTTAGATCCTAGCTTCAACCCCTGCCCCCCCCCCAACAAATACTGGTTTAAGCATGACTCTTTGTTTTTGCATAGATATATGTTTAGTTTATATATTATTGGCCATCCTCAGAAAAAAGGCCTAGATGTAGCCAAAAGAAATGCATAAAATGTTTTCTTTTCATGAGTAATAAAAGCAAAAGAGAGGCTTAGACATTTTGTGTTAAATAAGAATAACAAAATCAAACAAGCACAAACCTAGAGATCAAGAAATAAATCTTGTTAATTTTCATGCTAGCCTGGCTGTCACTTTTTGAAGACTGTTAAAGAACTATTTGAAAGTGGTGAGTTCTGGAGGGTAAAATGGGTGACAAAACAAAGAAAACAACCAACAAACAAAAGAGCAGAACAGACAACCCTTGCCAAGGAGAGGAAAATATATATACAAAGAATGGAGGTGGTCATTGACAGTTTAGCACTAATTGGTAGTGATCACAATATAATCGCCATTTAATGTTCACAGTGTCTGCAAACTCTCATTCCTTGTTCAGTAAGTATTTATTGAGCCCTTACCCCATTTACCCTGTGCCAGCACCTTTCGGAGCACTGAGGATACGGAGTGTAGATGCTTTGCGCTAACCCAGGGTTTGTGAACTGGAGATGCTGACCAAGAAAAAAACTGACTACAGGTCTGTGAGGGACTAAGAGCATCCTGTCAGGAGTGACTGACTGATGGTTAGTACTTGGGGAAATCTTAGGGATGACATGCTAACTTTGTTCAATTATATGAGGACTATCATCTGTTCTGTGTGATTGAGAAGGCAAAGCTTGGTTGCGTGGATGGGAATGAGAGGAAGACACATTTTTACTTAATCAAAGAAATGGCTGCCTGTAATTATAAGAAGCTACCCCTGGTAACAGATGGTTCCAGAAGCTTGGTCCCACTAGGAAGGAGTGTGGCACAGGGGATTTGCCTATGGGGTGGTGACAGGTTGAGGATGGAAGGTTGGTAATGAACTCATCCATGAGGACAAAGGTTGCAGGAAATGTTATTGGGCTCATTAATGGGAAGGACTCCCCTGATGACAATATAATGAAGGACTCTCAGGCTGCTATGGAGTCAAGCCGACCAGCTTTGCCCTTCACTCCTAGACCTTGGCCAACTTTCTCATCTCTGTGTCTTAGTTCCTACATCAGAGAAATGGGGATAGTAATAGTATATGTCTCACAGGACTGTATGAGAACTGAATAAAATAATGAGTGTAAATGAACTAATTTAAAATGTTTAGCCTATACTAGGCATGCAATAAATGGGACTGTTATGGGGACCTGGAGTCTCGTCTTGGGAAACACTTAGACTGCCTCAAACAATCCAGAAAGTTAAAATGATACCCATTAATGTAGTAAGTCCCTCTCTCCCTGTCCTGGGGTTTGTAAAAACAAAATCTTTCTAAAATGTGCAGTGAGAGATAGTAAGCGCATGACATTAAAAAACAATTGGGCCGCCAGACCGGCGTGGCTCAGTGGTTGAGGGTCAACCTATGAACCAGAAGGTCACGGTTCAATTCCCAGTCAGGGCATGTGCACAGGTTACAGGCTGGATCTCCAATGGGGTGTTGCAGGGGTGCAGGAGGCATCCAATCAATGATTCTCATCATTGATGTTTCTATCTCTCTCTTTCCCTTAATTTCTGAAATCAATAAAAATATATTTAAAAACCCCAAAACAATTTGGGCCAATTCTTGCATTTTGTTAGTATTTGCTTATTTGTTCTATTGTTGGAAAGATTCCCTTTTCAGCTCAGTCTGTAACTCTTTGAATTATGCTAAGGGACCTATATTGTCACCCTCCATTTGTTGTATCAGAAAGGATATGGGACAGTGTGCAATGGCCTGTTCAAAGAAAGCCTGCTCATGCACTTGGATGAATTTGAGTTGCTGGGGCTTTAGCTGTAACTAAGTATCTGTGTTGCAATCAGTTTCTGTGTTTTAGTCATGTTGTTGGTATTGACCATTGAAGAATTTGAATTAGCCATTAAGAAAGCCAAAAGGTGGTTGTGCTATAGCCTGGTTATGCCAACACGAGCCAATGAAACAATTTGTGATTGTCTGTAACATCAACTCAAAAGACTGGTAGACTGCAAGTTGTGTTTATCAGCTGCAATAAATGAGCCATTTCAATACTCTGCTCACTTTTCCAGGTCTTTCTTGATTAGCTCCACCTTCTCTTTGATTCACTAGTCCATGTTCTGTTTTATATTATTGTACTTATACTTTAGACATTTAAACAAGACAGAGAAGAACAAAGAATAAAATCAACTTCCACCTCTCAGAATTGACTTAAAATACTTTTAAAGAAACAAAATCCTACAATTAGTTAAGTCTCCTTTCAGAAGCACCTATAAATTAGTGTATATTGTTCCAATCCATTTTATACTTTTGCCCATGTATTTACGCAATCATTTGAATATTTAGTCCTGGTTGTGCTTTTAAATTTTGCAAAAATAATACCACATTGCTTTTTAACAGCACGATGTTTTCGAGATCTGTGTAGTTATATATAGTTCCAGCTCTGTTCTCCCTGGTGAAATGTCTGTTTTCCTTGATAAGACATTTGCTATTCACATCTGGTGATCATGGATGACAGGATGTTATTGCTGGAAGAGTTAAGAGAAAACATCCTTCTAATTTATGTCTTTATGTATTGTCAACACTGAGAACTTTTGAAAATGACAAAAACTAAGCCAAATGGGAAGTTGGGAAAATGTAAGTAAACTAGGACTCTCCCAGGCAGGTCACGATGGAGGATTAGCCTGCATCGGAAAAAAACAGGGTTGTGGGAGGGAAATGACATTCTGAGCAGCACAGTTGGTTTAATGCAGTCCTTGAAAAGCTCAGCCCCAGTCTCCAAAGCAAACAATTGCTTGGGGTAACATCCAGAAGATATATACCTTTCCAGCCCATTGTTCTTTTCATCATGCTGTTTCTTATGTTTAAAAACGATGCAGAATATGCATAGCCCATGGACATGAGCAGTAGGGCAGTGAAGACCTGGTTTGGTGGGGGGGGGGGGGGGTAGCAGCTAGGAGGAGGGAGTAAAGGGGGAAAAATGGGAGATATCTGTAATACTATCAACAATTAAATAAAATATTTAAATGCCCCCCGACAAATAAATTATATATATATATATATATATATATATATATATATATATATATATAGAGAGAGAGAGAGAGAGAGAGAGAGAGAGAGAGAAGATAATGGATTCTTAAGGCTACCTCATCAAGGAAATGCCTAATATCCTGCCTTTAGAATGGCTAGTTACAGTATGGTTTTAATCCATTTTTTTCCCTTATGCTTGCTTTCTCCCTGCTCAGAAAAATTTAATTACTGCCTCTTTCCACTGGATAAAGTCCCATTTGTTGCAATAGGTAGCAAAGTGTGGCCAGGTAAGTCAGGTTTCCTTGGTGATCAGAAGTCATCTTTTTTCCACTTATTTGTCAGCTTAGCTTTGCCCTAGTTGTCTTGATAACAGCTGGCTAGCTAATGAATGTGGCATATCTGTTTCTGCAAGGTTTGGGTGTGCCAAGCTTGTATGGGAGACAGAGAACTGACTCATTAATTAACCAGGAGTTTTGGTTCCAACTCAGGTCTGCAGTTTCCTGTCCCAGGCCCAGTCTCAGGTGTTTTTCATAGTAGGGTGATATTGTAATTATGTCATTTATAGTACATGGAGTTAGGACAAATCAGTCATTTCATTTTTATTTTAAATTTCGAATACAACTCCTAGGATCAAAAGTCTTGCAAATAATTTTTAAATTTCACTAATTTCAAATTTGTTATTATTTTTTAAAGTTTTTTATACATTTATAAGATAAACAAAACCAGTATTCTGGACTACCTGCTGGAAATATAATTGCTAAAGTACTCTATGGAAGATAAATAATACATTGAAAGTAAAGATTTAACATGTGTTAAGTATCAAGTACCTAATAATGTACTTATAAAATTGGGGTAATTTTATTAATTTTCAAATAAATTCAGCCTGTAAAATCCTAATGTACAGAGGGTTGAGAACACATGCTATTTTTGATTGATGTCAACCTTTTATTCTACATTGTACATAGCATAGAAATTGTAACTATAGTCATAAAAAATAAAAATCCATTGGTGGGGGAGTATAAGTGCTTGTGGTTATTTT